ATCTGGCTCACAGAACTGCCCGCTGTGTTTCCGAGGCTGTAAATCTTCTGGGAGTAGGCTGCCTCCTCATTCTCCCGCAGGGGCTGATGGGCTCACACCTCGAGCCCTGAACACCAAACCACTGGGGCTCCTAAAAATGCCCCAATCTCCAATTCAGAGACTCACATTCCCCGGTCACCTCAGCAGTGCTTTATGCAGCTGCGTTTCTCGTTCTTTCAAATCAGGAGTCAGCCAACATCGCTCAAGTTTCTTTCATTCTCTCATTTTTAATGCCGTTACTCCCTTTTTCAAGAGACCTGGTCTTTTGGCATCTGGGATTTTCCCATGTTCTCCGTTCAGTTGACTGCCCGGTTCCTCGCGGTGTTATGTCCTGGTTTCCCCTCTCCCGTATTTCCTGTCACTTCCACTTAGAACTAACAGTTGAACCAGGTTAGTGGTCTTTTTTTTTTTTTTTTCCCGTGGCCAGACACCGTGCCTCAGCTTCCTACTGCTTCTTGCCTGTTGCTTTACGGAGTCATTGCTTCTGCAAATCTCCCTGAAGGTTCTAAGTAGACGTGGCTGTGGTTACTGCTCTATTCCTCAAAATAACTGTTTCTGTTTTTTTTAAAACCGTAGGCCTTTTCATGCATTGAGCCTTGCACAAATACTGGAGGCCCCTTGAGGAAATTGGTGATAAAACAGCTTTGTCTGGAGTTGAAAGTGTTAGGATTTAAATCGTAAATACTCCTCACTGCCAGCACGTTGATTCCGACTCACGACGACCCTCTAGGACAGGGCAGACCTGCCCCTGTGGGTCTCCCAGACTGTAACTCTGTACGGGAGTAGAAAGCTGCATCTTTCTCCCATGACGCCCGGCTCTAGTCGTTCTTGATCGCTTGCCTTGGCAAAATCCCTGTGACCTGCCTCCACCCTGCTTTCTAACCTGTAAAATAGGGGCAGCAGCACAGCCCCTGCGTCGGCTTAGCGAGGGGACCAGAGAAAGTTAAAACGCTCTTTGAAGAGTCTTGTCTTCCTGCCACCGAGTGCATTCCACCTCATCGCAGCCCTCTAGGACAGGGCAGACCTGCTCTGTGGGTTTCCGAGATTGGAACTCTGCAAGACTAGGAACCCTGGTCTCTCTCCCTCAGAGCAGCTGGTGGTTTCAAACTGCTGACC